GTTTTGTTCAGAGACACAGAAAACTCCACAAACACACTCTCTCATTATCTCTCTCTCTCCCTCTCTCTCCCCCTCTCTCTCTCATTATCTCTTAGTGTATACTATGTCTATGGTGTTGTTTTTACAGATTTTTAGAGGCTTTTTGGCCGATACAGATCCAATATTGGTCTATTTTTCATTGAATCACTTCACTTAAAGCTACACGATGTAAGATTTGGGGGCTTGGAGATCTTCTCAAGGCCTCTCCATGCAATGTGTGGAAGAACATTTTGTAATATGGGTTGGGCTTCAGTGCTGCTGATGGCAAGTGTGTTGAAAGAGTATTCAAAAAACTGGTGAAGGGTGTGACTTCTGAGGATGTGAGTGAATGATCTACTATTGTCATCATATCCTCATCAGTTTAATGTTGATTTTGCATTTGAGACCTAAACATTGAGCTGGACCTTCTTTTTGAGGCTGTGCGTGTGACGTTAATGCGTAAATGCCTATGACGTGGTCTGAAAAACTCCTGCAGTGTCCAACTAACGCCTCTGACTTTTAAATGATTATTTCAGGGTTTGCAGGTTCAAACTGTACGGTTCATATGGTTTGTCAGTGCAACTGAAAAATGACTTGTGTATTAACAAGCAAGTTAGTTTAGATGAAAAAAAGAAATATTTTACATCAGTTCAAATTCAATTTCTAGAGAGACTTGCTACAGCATTGAATCAGACTCAGAAAAATGTAATTTTCAGTTCAGAATTTTCTGCTGATATTGACTGAATAACCAGACCTGGTACTGGATCACTGCCATCTCTAACTGTTTTGTTGAATTTTGCCTAAATGGCTTGGAACAGAAATCTGCTTTACTCTGGCTGAGGAATTTGCTGACAAAGAGGTTAATTTAGAAAGTGATTTGGACTGATGTAATGTTGCTTTTGTTCATTTGATACTTTGGCATTTTGCATCATATCAGTTTTTTGCATCAATCAGTATTTCAGTTTAAATGCTTATTAGCACATGAAGTTATTTTTTAGGTTGAACTCACCAAACACTTTTTATAATGCACTCTGTGTGGATGTAAAGCAGTAAGCCGGTGCGTCAAAGACATCCTAAATCTCTCTCTCTCCTCCTCCTTCTCCTTTTTTTCATTCACTCTATCCAAGTTCATCACATGTTTGTGTTCAGGCAACATACTCTTTATCAATCAGGTTTTAGTTTCTACATATTTTCTGCTCTTCCCTTTTCTGTCTCAGCTTTTAAAATGCCAGTTAATCTCATGCTCTACTGCCTTCTATTGATGCCAGGATATCTCAGCTAATGTTTCTCGCTCTGCCTTTCTCTCTCTGCCTGCCAACTGGAACTTCTACTCACTATGCGCAGAGCCAGATGTACATAAACACACATACTGCCTTCGCTCATCTGGAGCCTGTTTAGACATCACAGAACAGTGTGATAAAAAATAAATAGGTTCAGATGGATGTATATAGATGTAAATCAATGCCTAGGAGCTTACCTAGAATTATTTTAGTTTAAACTGTTGTATTCTGTAAACTGTCAGTACACCGAGGGGTATACGTAGTGCACTGCACCATGGATTGGTTTACCAGACAGAGATTAAACCCAGCACTGGACTACATTCTGCTTTCAGTGGAGAATTTCTATTCAGGATGCTGTGTAGTGTAAATCACAGCATTCTGGAAAAGGACTAGACTTAATCATTGTTAGGGAAACTGACCCAGTATGTATTGAAATACATGCAGTGTTATATATTTGCAAAATGGCTTGTGAAAAAGTACCAATGCATCAGACAATTACAAAGAAGGTCCTTCTCCCAAACTAGTACCTACAGCTTTTATAGTAAAAATAAGGATGCATATATTTTTGTATATGTGGGCTTATAAATCAATGAATATAAAGTTAATAAGAAATAGTAGTTAGAAGTTTAGAATCTTTATAAATGGTTATAAAATTCTAACCATATGAAATTCTTATGTGCTCCTGGTATTTAGTTCTAGAGCCTGGTATTTAGTTCTTCTTAGTTGTGTTCTGTATCTTTATTAAAATTGGTTATAAAATATTTGTCATAAATTTGATTTATTGTATTGTCCTAACAGAAATACTGGAATATTTTTTATTGTACTGTTTCACACAGGTCCAGTGCTGCTTTTAGCTTAATGTACTCTTTTAGTCTCTTAAGTTCAAAGTCAAGGCTTCAAGTTCAAATGTTACCATGGTGCATTGTCAGTGTGCTGGCAAACAAGGAAACAATCGTTAAACAGTAAACAAAAACACAAACACAAAGGGCCGGAGGGTGTGGTAGGTAACGGGGTGGGGTTGTTTTGGAGGGCATGTTGTGTTGGAGTTGGGAAGGGAAGTGTGTGTGATTATCAACGCGGACGCTGTGTCTTTCTCACAGCAGCTGTCCTGTCCCCTGAGCCAAGAGGACACAAAGGGACAGCCCAGGGACATCCACCACTAATCCCTGCCTGACACGCAACTGAGCAAAAGATATGCTTCTAACCTGTCGAGTATCATAGCTAAACAATTTTTGGTCCCACTTTGTTTGGATAGGCCCCTCTAGACTGTCTATAGGTGTTCAAATTGTTAACAACCTATGTGGTGAAAGTTGACTGGTTGATTCTCAGCTGCTTTAAGGCTAAGGTTAGGATTAGTACCAGGGTTAGGTTTAGGACCAGAGTAAGAGTTAGTTGTTTGGGGTTGGGCTAGGGTTAGGGTTAGGGAAAATTAAGGTGAATTTAGTGGATAACTTTTTGAATACATGTTAAATGCAAGATTGGCATCTTCAAAGCTGTCATGGTTGAAATATGCACAGTTATTGTGTAGTGGCGTAGAGTAACCTAAACGGTGCTTTGTGATTGGGTGTGGGTATGTGTGGGGGGAGGTTGGGAGGTTTGTCAGGGCAGTGGCTGTGCCCATGTGTTGGGGACAGCTGAGGTGTCACCTGTCTTTGTATCATGTGTCCCCAAACAATCAATGTGCCAAAACTTCACCACAGCCAACCACACTGGCTTGTGTACAGACATGGCTGATTCACTCTAGAGGCCATTTTATGTCAAACTGTAGCACCAAGCTAGAATTTCAGGTCAGTTTCTTCTGTATAAAACCATCAATGGTTGATGAAGTCTCTGGCAAAAAGCTTATAGATCTACTAAATCTTGTATAGGACTGGCTTTCCACGTTCAAATTCTCCTGTGAAAGAAAGAGAGATGGTTTTGCAAAGGAAAATATTATTTTATTATTATTAAATATAGTTATTGGCAATATATAGTGGAGTCTGTTTGTAACAGGACAGTAACTCAATATTGTGGTGTTTTGGCTCCAGAGTTTAGCTGTAGAGTTATGGAAAGATGAAAGTATGGACTAAAATGAAAAAGGAACTGCTCATAATCCAACTTACCTCCTCATCTGTGAAATGTTGTGATACGGGAGTGTGTGGCCCCCACTGGAATTTTACCTCAGCTTTTCACCTTGCAGAGGCCAGTAATCCAAATCTATGGAGTTTTCAGGACCAAAAATCTCACCCAACCTGAACCCTACTGCGCATGTGTTTCTTTCTGAATGCAGTGATCAACTGGGAAAGGATTTGTAGGGGAGATGGGGAGAACTATGTAGGGAGCTCTAGTTCCTAAATGGTTCACCCAGTATAAACTAAACACTGTCACATTTAGCTTGACGCTTTATCCTCATAGTCAATGTTTTATTTCAAATCCAATGTACCAGAATTAAGAGCCAAAAACAACAGAAATGTTCTCAACGTGTACTTATTAACCACACTGTTTGTCAATATGTTGCATTTTATGGCCTTCAGAAATGACATTTGGCCAAAACTAGCCATTTGCTGGTGAAAGTATGTTTTGGGCATGTTCTGTCCAGCTGCTCTGCTCGTGATGTTCCAGAGATGTCCACGGGTCGGAGTGCTGCAGCTCGTACATCAGGAGGAATTCCTAATCTGTGTAAAAGCCATGGTGGTGGAATGCTGATAATGCAGTAGATTACTGGGGGCATGTTTATGATACAGATTTATACTTCCCCTCACGGAGACAGGGAATGTTCTCCTGCTTTATGAACTTATATTTATGTCAGCCTGTCGTTAATGGAGTCTGGCTCAACTCAGGCCTTTTTGAGGGCTGTTGTTTTACACTCACTGTTTGTTTTCTTTTGTGTGTGTGTGTGTGTAGGCAGTGTGACTTATGAAGGAAAGTGCCCTGATATGGTGGCATAAACAGAGCTTAGTTATCTGCTATAAATATCCCAGTGTAGCTGAATTTATGTTAGAAAAACAGTATTAAGACATTGTTTACAGAGGGTCTTGAGTGTCAGTTGAGTGTATATTTTAAAGAAATTTACTCAACTTTAGAAGATTATGCAAGCAGAATCATACATTTTCAAGTGCCTTGCAGACCACTTTTGATATGTGCATTAAAACCAGTGTTATTCAACTTAAAGGGCCCATATCATAGAAATCCAACTTTTTAGATCCAATGTTTGTGTAAACATGTTTTAACATTTCAACATAATGTATAATTCATTTCCAGTCCACACAGTCCATATATGGAAACTAAGCAGCAAAGCAACTCATTTTGAATTAATTGTTTTTGTAATGTTACAAAAACCAATGGATTTGCACATATCGGCCTCTTCAGCCTACAGTAAGCTAGCCCACCTGTTCATGTTGAAGGTATTAGGACCAGCTGGATCAGGGCTTATTTACTTGACTGAAAAACTTGTCTAATAACACATTTATAAGCTAGTCAGGCAGTCAGATCATCCACAGGTGTTACAAAGTGGGCTATGACTTAATGCTGTGGGACAACTAAAACACTGTATAGAATTTTATGTCCCCATATGACAGGATAATTAAATTTCATTCTGCAGTGAGTTTTTTTTTCTCCTTATGTGTCTGAATGAATATGATAATGTGGAGTTGACCCAAGTCCAGCATCTCTCCCCTTGAATTGTCCAGACTATTGAACTTGTCTGATGTTTCTGCTGTATAGGTGCTTCAGATGGATCAGAAGGTGGAGAACATCCTGAAGATCCTGGTGGAGCAGTTCCAGCCCAAATCCGAGCTGCTTCAGAAACCAAGCCACAGCCACTCCCGTGTAACCGTCATGAAGCGCCTGGGTGTCAGCATGGATGAGGGACAATGAGACAGGAAACAGCCACACTGGGTCAAGACTGGGACACATCTGTGGATAAAGATTGTCCAGGAGGAAAGGTTCTATCTCTTCTCTCTGCTTCACGTTTCAACTTTAAAATGAATGAAATCATGTGAAAGTAAGATGGAAATGTGCAGGATGATGGACTGGTAAGCCAAGCTAACAAGAGAGGCAAAAAAGCTTTGAAAGATTGTTTCTCTGTTTCTTCCAAAGAAAACGAGCTACGTGTTCAACACCTTACTAGCTTTCAGCAAAGGGCAGCCACTCATAGATTCCTCTCTTTATTCGATTGCCGTCAGTTTGCTATGGTACAGATGGAGCGGCACTAAAGATATGGTTGTTTGAGGTGTAAATCCTGATTGGTTTAGGAACCACTGCTCCACAAAAATGCTACCAAGGCAAGATCCACAGTCACATATCCATCAAGAACATTATTAAGCTTCTGAACTAGTGGCTCAGCTCACATAGCACAGAGGAAGCACAACATGGATTATCCGTTCCCCATGTTAATCTACACCTCACATTTAGTAAGTGCGAACACATTGTCTGTGTGTTAAACCCACCACTGATAAATAGCTATGGCACAGCTAATCAAAACAGCAAAACACTGCTGATGGGCTTTAATGGACTTAAATGGAATATTAGAAAGGAAGAGGGAGAGCTATTTGAGGTTGTGGACTCGGTGAGGAGTGCCAAGGTTTTCAACAGCGTATTCATTTTCAGAGAATTTCGGAGAGCTTTATTCCATTCAACCTGTGATTATTTTTCTCATTCTAGTTAATTAAATGCAAGATTTCTGGTGAGGTGTGATGGCCTGATGCCACTGTTTTGATGAAAGGAAACTATAGTAAATAAATAAAATCTAGATTTGTTTTCAGAACTGCAGGGCGAGGGGGAACAGAGAGATGTATGTCGAACTCAGGCGGCTGCACTCCATTCACCAAACACACTCAGCTGCTGGCGCTTTGCCTAGTCCAGAACAAATTGCTGGGTGGTTTTCTTTTTTTCACATGTTAATTTAACATTTACTACAGTGTGCAGAGAGAGAGATGAGAGCTCAGAGGAAAGAGAAAGAGAGAATAGTGAAGGAGAGCCAGGTCTAACCCCTTTCCTCCCTTCATTTTATCATTCACTGCGTCTGGAGGCTCCCACGATTTGTTTGGTGCAAAAGGGGTGAGAGAAAATGAAATCAGTGAATGACTGACCAACTATTGTTCTGTACAGTTTTATAAGAGATGTACATATAGTAGCATTGCCTTATATTTACCATCATGGAGCACAGGCTGTTTTGACTGTGACTTACAGAGACAACTGGACACTGTGTAATATATTCATTCATCTTATGAGAGACTTGTGTAAATAAAATACGCCTTTACATTTTACATGTTAGTGTTGTTTGTTTGCTACTGTGAATGATGGGTTTTTGTTGTGAAGACATTTATGGAAATGACCCAAAGAAATCAAAACTAGGGAACAACATGACTAACTGCCTTGAAAATTTGGAAGATGTATTTTCCTTGTTATTAAGCTTTCATTTGTACAATGTTCTTTGGGTGTACTCTCAATGCTGCACTGCTGCTGAACAAAGTTTTTGAGTGGAGTGCAAGTGGAGAAAGAATGGGTCTCAAATTTCTACGCAATTATATTTGTCTTCAAAGGCCAAAAAATACGATGGATGTCCCAAGATCAACAAGGCCAGGCAAGGAGAGAGAGAGCGAGGGAGAGAGGAGCAGTGGGGGGGAGGGATGGAGTTTGGGAGGAGGAAGTCTGGTCTGGAGCCATGTTCAATTACAGAGGGCTGTGGCTCCACATCTATACGCACGCTGTTATTCTGCTTTTGTCTCCTGTTTTATGTCTCTGACAGAGACCTCTGCTCATGTTTACAGAGCCAGCACTGTGTGATCAAGACACTGTGCTACTTTCATGTGGAGAGTTAAGAGAGACTCCCCAGTTTCACAGACTGTTTGATGGCTGAAGAGCTCACTCATGACTCACTATTGGAGATCAGGCTTCTGGAAAGACATTAAGGAGGAACAATAAAATCCCGACATCAATGAGAAAACCAATTCCAAACACTCTTTACACGGTCAGAAATTCTTGATTCTTGTCTCTGCCTTAAGTGCCAGCAGGAACAGAAAAAGCCTCTAAAGTAATCAATGAAAAGTCCCACCACAATATGTTCACATCCTGCTAAGGAGGTGTTGGAAAATTTGCAGATTGATTTCAGCCAAGACACGATTGGTGTCTGAAGTTTGCTTCTTTAGTCTTACATTGGAGCTGTGAGGCAAATGTAGCAAAAGTAATTTGAGCTTCTAGTATTATATAGATACTGTTATTTATAAAAATGGACAAAAGTGTGGACAAAAAAAATGATTCAGGCTTTGGGATGGTGTTTACATGACATATAGCGTCATACATGGTAAGAAACCACATCAGCAAGTCTAATTGAGATAACTTGACTTGCCATGTGTGGGATGATTTAGGCCAGTGGTGCCCAAACTTTTTGTCTTGAGAGCCCAATTGCAATGTTTGTGGTGGGCCAAGGTGCAAAAAGACAAAACAATATGCAAATAAAGAAAGTTTAACTCAAGTTTTAAAGATATACCATGCATTATATATGGGCATATGCAAAAGTTTGAATACCCCTGGTCAAATCACATGCTTTGCTGGCATGTTTTATTGGAGTGAAAATAAGTGAATGGATCCTCTACAGGAAACAAACTTAAATATGGTATTTTTCTGCAAATTCTAATGTACCATTTCTGTTTATTTGCTGAGTTTAACATATTGTAGTGTCAGCACAGAGCAAGGCACAGGGCAGGGCAATTTCCACCACAAGTGCTCTTTATGAAACACCCAGGCACAAAAGCACATACAAAGCACTGGACTCGTAGGGGAGGTCACCACCTGTCGCAGGATTCACCCTCAACACAAAACACCCACACCTCCAGACACAATAAACCACAAAAACACACTTTACACTAACAAACAAAGACATTAAAACAACATTAAAGTCCCTTTTTAGGAGGGAGCACACCTACCATGAGCCTTCGCACGTGGCTGCTTGCATGGCCACGCCTCCCAAGCTTCTCGGAGGCAGTGCCAGCCTGTAGTGGGTTGCTACAATATTTTATTTTTTTGTCCAAAATGTTAAATGCAGCAAATAAACAGGAATTGTGCATTAAAATGTGCAGAAGTGTGTTCTCACTTTCACTTTGGGCAGCCCTGATTTAGGCAAAGGTGATTTTTGATGGTCACATCTGTATAATGGTTACATCAGCCTTGTAGCTCCAGTGCAAAGCTTAACAAAGCAAACTTCAGACTTGGAAGATGTCATCAGCTACTTCTGGGGTAAGTGGAAAACTATGTAAAGTTTGAAGAAAGTCACTAAAACAACCACAGAGTACTGTTGACCTCTGTTCACATTTGTGCACAATTGCCTAAACATGCTAAAAACTCAGTTTGTCTTCACATTTATTTTGGCCTCCATGCTGAGCTCCGTGAGCCGTCCTTTAGCCGAGCCACCTCTCTGCTGCTGGAGCCTGTATGACCTGATGACAGCCCTGAGCAGTGTGTCCATTACTGGGCCACCTGTGGCTCAGGGCACTGTGAAGGACCAGTGGTCCCCTATGAAAGCTGATATGAGTAAGAACAGGTGTGTATGGGGCGGGTGTCGCGCTGTAGCAGCTGACGCCCTGAACTCCTGCGCTCTCGAAATAGCAGGCCCTGAACAGTTGTCTTGGGGACCACTGTCATCTCTTCACAAGCACCACATTCCTCACCCAGTCTTTAGTGTTTTTACTTTCTGGAGTTACTAGAAATCGAGGAATTTTCACTGGCCATCTCCTCAGGTCAGTAAATTAATGGATTAGCCACTTGAGACTGTAAGTTACAGTGATTTTATAGGTTAAGGGTTTTTAAGGCACAATGCTAAGCAAAATAAAATCACTAAAAAACACACACATTTTCTAAGCTGCTTATCCTTCTGGGTCGCGGGGGGAGCTGGATCCCAGGAATCATTGGGCAGAAGGCAGCATCTGATGCAGTAAGCAACACTTTTACCAGTGTAGTTTGTTAGCAGTAGGATACGGCTGCCAAGCAACATGACAATCAAAGATTACTCCATGAAGAGCAAAATGCTTTTAATAATTTGGTGCTTTAATACCAACCGATATTCAAATTATGTGCCTCATGCGACTTATGTTTGCATATCGTGTAATTTACAGTGGCTTTGAACATGGCTCAGCTAAAATTTCACAGTTCACACCCTGTGTGGTACATTCAGTGTTTGCATCACCCTCCAGTCATTTGGCTTTGGGGATCTTTTGAGAAACTGGGTGGTTAAAGATTGTAGAATTGTAGTATTGGCTTATCATACATGGCACAGGATATCTTTAAAAGTTCCCCTTTCCCATCCAAATTTTCTGCATATCATAGGAGTTACAACTACACTGCCCCTCAAAGGTTTGAAGACAGCTTGCCTTTTAATGTTTTCTTTTAATACAAATGAGCAAGTTTTCTTTTTTGATTTAAAAACATAACACAGTGGCATCTTTCTGCATTTCACTTTGTGGCCACTCCATTGGCAGAATGAAAACAGACTCAATATATATATATATTATATATATATATATATATATATATATATATATATATATATATATATATATATATATTCCCCTGTAACTCTATTATCAGAATAACTGTGACACTGTTGGTTCTCTGTGTGTGAAATGTTGTGACTCTGTATTGAGCTGCTAGTGAGCAATGAAGGGCAAAAGGGGATGGGTGAGAACCCCCTGCTGTGAAAACAATTGAATTGTTTGTGTTAATATCACTTTGGGTAATAATGGCAAAACCTGCACATTTTATCCTCTTGTTATGATGTCAGCACTCAAACCGTTCAGATGTTTAATCCACCTTTGGAGCAAAAGAGTTTCAATATGTGCTTTTAACAACAGTTTAAAAAAAAAATCAAGATTTAGGCAAAATCTGCGTCATACCAAGGAAGATTTTTTGAGGGACATGAAGCTGAGTGTTACAAAAGGTACATAAATATTAACATGGAGCTGTTTTATGTTCTCAAAACCTTTGTAGACAAATTTTCATACTTGAAAAGTAACAGCGAAAAAATTCAACCCAAAATTTAGTGCAGCACCTGTGAATACAGTGTGTGTTTGTGCTCACATTAGGTTTTTACTGAGAAGCCGAGATAGTGTGATGAAGTGGGTCACAATGCGGGGGACTTTTCTTCCAGACGGAGGGAGAATTCCGGGCCAGCGCTGGAAGCACTTCAGTGGCTAGCGCTGGTTTGGCCAGCCGAGGCAGTATGTGAGGCATGAGGAGAGACAGCTGCAGCAGAGCTGCTACTGCAGCACCGGGGCAGCTACACCACGCCACGTCACGCCTGGGCTGGGCACACACTACACACACACACACAGACAAAACATATGCTTGCACTGACCCCCACACACACACACACACACACACACACACTTAGCAGAGCTGTGCACCCCAGCTGCTGTATCTAAAGCTCTTTAAAGCTCCACTGGTAGTCCAGTCATCCCCCAGATTTAAAAGCTACATATGTGTTGGCCTTTTCACAATCAGAAAACACTGAGAGGAAACGTTTACATCTGCAAATACAACACTCATCTTTTCAAATGGTCAAATTCACACCTTTCTACAAACAATATGGATGTAAGAAATGTTCAAATTCAGCATGTAAATCCAAATTAAAGTAAGGAATTGGCTAAAAATAAAATCTAACCCTTTACACTAATTGCAGTCAAACAGTCAAAACATGTTTGGTGTTTGCTGGGTTCTTTAAGTTGTTTAGTAAAACGCATAATTCAGGCTTGAGGATGGCTGCTGCTGCTGCTGTTTTCAGCTACATGAGGTACTTTTGTCCATTTTTATTGATAACAGTATGTCATACAGTGTTAGAATACACATAAAACAAATCTGTATGAGATGTCTTAACATAACACAGTTGAAGGCAAGTGTGTGATTCAATGCTAATAAAATATTTACTTCACATAACTTCAGAAATGTACAGACCTCAGCTCCACTGGTGTACAGGTATCTGGTGTGTGCGTCATGCTCAGTGGCCTCACGCATAGCTGAACAGATTAGAGCACAGCAGGATAATGAGAAGTGAGGGGCTGCTGTAGATGTTTTGCTCTTCGTGCTTCAGGAGAGCTGCTCCGATAACTGATAAAGAGCTTTTGACCGGCTGCAGGTGGGCCCACCTAATGAGAGCCACAGGACCAAAGCAAACATGCAGTCCAGGCCACATCACACAACACACAACTGCTGCTATCTGAGGATGCGAGTGCTGGTGGAAATGAATGATAAGCCAACAAAGGACATGTCCACACTGCATGCTATTCAGTAATCGGTAGGATTTACTAAGGGAGCCTTTAAGGATGGTGCGGCAACCCCCTAAGTACCAAGACAGACTAGTCTTAGACTCAGGGGCATTTTAACTTGCTCGGGGGCCTTGGGGCTAGAGAAGGTCATGGGCCCTATGGGCCCCCTATGGGTCTAGTTACACAGCGTCCACAAACTCAAAACCTTTTTTTGCAACTTCCAGTACTGCCATTCAGAATCTCTCCATTACTGAACAAGCTTAGACAAAGCTGAAGTTAGTTTCTTATCCGCCAGGTTATTTTTCACATTTTCCGTTCCACCTTAAATGGTGCCACAGTTGCATTCTAGCACCTGTTACTACGGCACCATTTAAGGTGGAAAATTTGAATAAGAACTGGCAGACAGTTGGTCAAGATTTGAGATTTGCACTGAACTTAAGATGAACTTCACCTTGAGCTCATATGTGCTAATGTTAACTGTACATCTCCCAGGCAACGTAAAACAACCAGGCTCTCGCCTTTCATGAAAAAGAGCCAATCAGCTTGCTGTTTAAGCCGCAAGCGGGGAACTTATGATCTATGTGGAGTAAAAAAAATAAAGTTGTGTCTGCAATTACTTTGAACCTCAATAGTTATAATCCCTACTAGACGCTGAAGAGAGGATTGTGTGTCAGCATTAGGAACTGAACTGAATTACTAACATGAGGAAACTTTCCTGAGAACTTGCAGAAACTTACGTTCATCAAGCAGAGATTTGGCTTATTTTCCTTCGTTAATACTTGTGGAGACGTCCCTATATAATTTAATGTACGTGAAATGTGTAGGAAGTTTTTAACATTGTGGAGACAGACGTCAGATGGTCAGCCGACACAAGTAGCTTGTCGTTAAAATGGGTTTGGAGCAAAATATTGACCAAAAATTTAGATTGTGGGCAATTTAGTTTATATGACTTCTTATAAAGTCTCAGCTTTCATAGCTAGTTAGTGTTATTGCTAACGTTAGCTATGAATAGTCTGAATCTGGTGGCTGACTGGTTAACTCTCAACATAATGTTATAAAAGCCAAATACAACCAAAAACTACTGTTCAGTCTTACCTGTGAAAGGTAAATGAGAGATCCCTGAGATCTGGTTTGGTTTGTGCGACAGTTGGTACAGCCCCAAGCTGCACACGGCTCATGCATAATTTTTCCAGTCCAGTCTTCTGAGAGTTCCCTGCTAGGAAAACCAGCAAAACCAGCATATATTGTCTTTTGATGCTGGTATGCTGGTCAACCAGTATGACCATACTGGGGTGACCAGCTAAACCAGAACCAGATCAGCATAAACCAGCATGGTTGGGTGAGTTTGTTGTGGAAGAACTTTACTGGCACGCGCAGAGCTCTGACCTCAACCCCTTTCGAACATTTTTGGGATGAACTAGAATGGAGATTGCGTCAGGCCCTCTCATCCAACATCAATGTCTGACCTCACAAATGCTCCTCTGGATGAATGGGCAAAAATACAATGATACAAGGTTTAATAGTGTTACTACGTACTACATCAGACACTTTTATTCTATAAAAGTGAGGAAATTTCAGTTTCCCTTGAATTGGCCCTTTAAAGTGTATTCCTCTCTATCACTGTTCTCTTCCTGTTTTAGTAGAAAAGGGAGCATAAAATCTATACAGTCAGCAAAAAATATGCATAAATAAACCCAAACAGTCTAATGGTGGCACCATCCGGTTCTTATCAGTCTCTACTTTCACATGTTCTTTGAATTTATTCATAAGTCTTTTCATTTATTGAGAATTTCACTGATGACGTGCATTGTGGTTATTAGAGGAAACGGAGGGAGGAACTCTGAGATTTCAATGAACTGCTTGACTGTCATTTACAGGAAAGGGTGCAGTTCTGCGGTCACCGATAGATAGACTACCACGGAAATATGAACTTGCTGGTTTAGGTAAATACTGTAGTAGGAGATAGTGAGCACGTCCACCAAAATGTTTTGTCTTGGAAATAGTAGACATCTGTGAGGTTCACTGTGAGCTATGTTGAAGTGTTACCATCAAACTGTGTAGTAAAGACCTAACCAGACCAAATGTTTCAGTGCTGTTACTCCAAACTTTTTCTTAGGAAATGTCACTTCTACTACTTTGGTAAATAAATGAGATTAAGGTGTACATTATTATTTATGGCATTAAGTCACTTTAATTCTTTATTAACAGTACTGAAATGATGAGCAGACACCCACGACAGTAGCAGATCCACCTCTGATGACAACATGACTCTGAACAGGAAATAAAGTGTCACGTGAGCTAGTTTACAAAAACATTCAAGGATGTAGACAAATCATTCCTAGAAGTCTTGAGCAAACTGAACATTTCAGCAAGATTTGCAGCTTCTTGTTCTTTGTGTATTCAGGTGATGAGTGAGTCGGTCATGTGCAACACATTCATGAGCTGAAGCTTTGTGCTTACAGCTGGTTTGAATAGTTTGAATAGGAGCAGCTAGAACTCACACTGCAATTTTGTAAATAGACAGTGTGAATATTCTCGGTGCTGCGCAGTGAAAGATCAGTATGAGTCACTTTCAAGGTCATTGTCAATCCTTTAGGCTCTCTAGGGTTTCATTTTGATTTGTTCCTGATACTGATTTATTTTGCGTTTTCAACTGAACTTTTAAGTCTCACTCACGAGAGTTTGACTTGAGCTTAATATATTTGCATACCTCAGTTGCTGAGATGTAAGGAAAGATATTTCGAGTGGTTTGATGTGAAATGGTTCACTGTAGAGAAACAGTGATGTTTCATTGTAGGAACCAGGGGTTGTGATGTCTACAACACAAGTAAAGCCTTTTTATTTACTATCCAAAACAGGTTTTAGGTGCTCAAAACTGCCTCACAACACTCTGCAGGTACCTCTCCACCATGAATTTATTTTTTAAAATCTATTTTTAAAAAATTAGGCCAAAATCTTCTTAAAAATAAAACATTGTCTTAGGTATCATTCAGTTTGGTTATGAACATTCCATGTAGTACATTTCTTTGGGAGGGCCTTTAGAGGTGTAATTGCTTCAGAGGTCTGGTTCCTCTCACAGCACTGTTAACAATTCTCATTCAGTAAGTTTCTCTAGAACACATCAAACCACTTTGTTTATATCTTTATTATTTAATTATGCAGATTTTTTTTAAAGTGGTCACTTTGCCCTTTTAAAATGTCTTGTCCACTCAACTTTGTTTTGCTGGTGTCTTATGAGGAAATATCTTTTGAATGTATTTTATTGTTTGTGAGCGTGTGAAATGAAAACTGATGAAAAAATGATTCATGAAGTGACAAACCAGGCTCACATTAACAAAAGCCCAACATCTTGGCTTTTTTATTCAAACATTTAGCTTTAATTAAATAATGCCTAATTGACATCATTCTGTTCTTCTAGTGGAAATTAGGTTCATGAAGGTAGCGGCCCTAAGAAACTCATGAAACTCATTTTGGCTCTCACTGCTCTGTTGCCTTATTATGAGAAAGAGCCTCCACTCAGTGGCTTAATGACATAGGCACTCCACCCAGACCTTGTGGGCTCTTCTTCATAACAGCAGTCTCTCTCTCTCTCTCTCTCTCTCTCTCTCTCTCTCTCTCTCTCTCTATCTCTCTCTCTCTCTATCTCTCTCTCTCTCTCTCTCAGATGAGGCCTTTTGTCTGTGTGGGAGACCCAGACACAACAGCGCACAGAGCCATACACCCTCACAATGGTTCAGCCCACAAAGCCACACACAACTGAACAATGTGACCATCTCTAAAGGAGGCGGAAGAGGTGGGTGGGGAGGGGTTGAGGTCACGCACCTGCACCCTAAGAGCCATTAAAGAGCTGATGCAGGTGTCTTCATGTTGTTTTTTTTCTTTTAGGCTCTGTTGTTCGTTTAAGGGAGCCCACTGTTCACACAAGGCCTAAACTGCAGGTTTATACTCTCAAAGTCAAATGTAATACATGGGTATGTCAAGTTAAAAATGTAATATATATATTTATAATATAGAAATGGGACTTCAGAAAGGAAAAGTTTGATAAAATTGAGAAACTGCACTCAAGTCTTTGCCTGCCTGCTGACAGTTTCATTTAATAATGGTCAGCTGTGTAAATTACAATGTAAGAAAGCTGATTAAAACCCCATAAAACAAACTCTCTGCTGGTTGCTGGTTGCTTTAGGGCAGATGAGCTGATATCAGACACAGAAACTCATTGTCTCTGTTCTGGGACTGACTGACTTGAGCCTTGTTACAGTGTTGTGGCTGGATTTTTACACCCTTTGGCAAGTATTACAACACTGGCCTGATTGAGCAAGGGCTGGAGGAGAGTAAGGCCTGACACAGTGGTTAAACGTCAGGCGGACCCACAACTTTACTACACATCCACCCTGTGTGTACACTGATGTCATTTGTTTAGCCTTCTTTTGAAATACAGAGCTGTATCAAAACGTACAAGCTATAAATAATCGTGCTCTACGTACTGGTTTCTTTTAAAAGTCTTACTTAATGAAGTAATACTGCTGTCAAAGTGAAATATAACAACCTTATTGTCTTAAGAATGTAATGCAGTAATCTTATCAGAAAAGGGCAACTCACCTGTTTGCTATTGAGCCTATTATGCCCTAATATGCCAGCCACATCCTTCCTCCTGTCAGCTCTCTTTAGATCCTGTAAACTTCAGCTTCCGACCAGCAAAGTGAATCAGACTGACAAAATGTCATTATTCAGCTCTCGTTCAGGAAAGGGCTATTCAGTGTGGGGTTGCTGTAGAGGGTTTTTTTTTCCTATAGCTAGTTTTCTAGCGGAAGTGTGTAAAGGAAGGAAGTCAGTTGCTAACACTACGCTATGCACTGTATAGGTTGTAGTAAACAAACACACATATACAACTTGTATAACTTAAGTCAGATTCACCTACAGCCTATAAAATCACTCCTGTCTGATCAGAATCTGCTTTAGCTTAAAGTGTCAGAGCACAGAGGCTCTTATTTAGGGGATCCGGGAACCAGAGCCCAGGATTAATAATCTATTCAGACTTTTATCAGCATCAGCACTGATGTTCCAGATGAGTTCCAGCACCTGGCTTTAGCATGCCACATAAATATTAATTATGAAAAAAAAGAGAAAAACTTGTGTTATTAAAAAAAAGTTCTCATTTAAAACAGATGCATACAACTTTTCACACACCTGTTGACAAAAGTGCACGCCAGTGCAAATGACACACATCCAGATATAATAATTTAATGTTCTTTTAATTTGATTGCAGCACAATGTTTAACCACACATAACAAAAACCGCAATATTTTTTAAATTTATTTTTATCAGGCTCAGTTTGCAACCTTACACAATTTGTTAAAATAATTTCTTTAAAAAATAAAAAATAAAAAAAAAATAAAACAGATACTACCAAAAAAGCATTTAAAAAAATAACTCAAATGCCACTTTGGATAACCATGACCAAACCCATTTTTAGATAAAAAAAAAAGCTTGACATAAATAAGTTAGTCTTAATTTTCTCAGTGTTTTTACAAAGTTATGTACACAGGTACACTTCAAAGTTTAAACAAATACACAGGCTGTGTGGATTGTTGAAATATTAATATTTACTTTTTTCTATAAATATACTTATGCATCAGAGTTAACCACAGAATCAAATGGGAGTGTAGGTGCAGATAGCTGAGAGGCTATTTTTCCTGATATTACACCAAATGGAGGGAAAAAAGGGAGCTGGAGTCAAACTGAGTGAAATGGAACAGAAAATCTAAAATAGGCAATCAGTAGAAAGTTTCACTCAAAATACAAATAACCCAGACACATATTAAAGAAAAATAATTTAATAATAAGCGAGGGACACTTGTGTCTCTCAGCAAGTGCCACGCCTGGTGTTAATACTGGTTGATGCTACGTGTTTTGACCTTGTGTACTGAACTGAACAACATCAGTCAGCTGTCCAAGTCAAAATCTGACATAAGTTACATAGAGTCATTTAGTTTTAAGTACAGACATTAGATAAGATCTGCATCATCTACAGAGTATAATGCATTTTTGCGATCTATCTGTGGTGTTGTTTCGAGATAGCAAACTGAAATGCTAGGATCAAAAGTGATCCTTAGGAGACAAGGCAACTTATGTACCACACATCACCCAAAAGGTGTTCGCACAGCTGTATGGGCACCTGTGGATACAACAATGGATTTCAACGAGAGGAGAACACAAGTCAGATGGGGCACACTGCCTTTAAAAATAGAGAGAAGTTACAAAACAGCATTTTGGAAATATTTTGAAACCTATACAACTGCAACTCTTCAAGTCAAATCAAATTCACACCTACTCAAAAAAAAATCCAACATAATGTGTATTATGTGCTACATATGAAAAGTAAATATATACACAGGTAGTAAGAAAAAAAAAAAAATGAGCAAAAAAGGAGATTAAACCTAATTGCACACTGCTACATAGACTGCTTTTGAGGCAGTTGCTTTTTTTAGTGCCAGAACTTTTGTGTTTTGTTTCAGTGCTTGTGCAGTCTCTCCACTCTTTGAGCTGATATGCTTTTGCTTTCCTATCATTCTTCTCTCCTTGAATTTTCAATTCACCAAGCACTGAAGCCGTCAGAAGGGAGAGAACGTCTTTAGCTCTGTAAGAGAGGAAGACACAAAAATCAATTGCATTATATGTTTATTTTATTATACTATACAATATAATACAATATACACACACATACATACAAACAAACACACACACACACACACACACACACACACATATAGGTACATATACATATATACATATATACACATATATATATATATATATATATATATATATATATATATATATATCATTATATATATATATATATATATAGTAGGAAGTAAGTAATAAGTGCACATATTCCACTGGGCGTAACTTATCAAAACAGTGACAGACGTCTGTCAGCCATGCGGTGGCAGACTGGACCTGTGACTTCAATAACAAAAAAGGCCTATAACTGCTGTAGGAGTATTCACACTGATAAGGTGATGAAACCACAGTGCCTTTTCCAAGTTTGCCACAACTATCCAATACTATTACCATCACTGCTTCAAAGATTGCATGATTATTTTACCACAGCCTGCCCTAATCTCTGCACCCTGAGTAGCACAACTGTGTAAATACTCAAACTGACAGACGGCTCCTCCACGTCAGCCCGAGTTTACAAGAACCTAGACACAGTAGACTACATCAGTTCACCAGCAGTGGAAATGAGCTGAAACACGGCCTTAACATCTTTACACCTACACAACTCATAACCTATGAATAAAAAGAGAACAAAACTAAGGGTTTAAGTGCTTCTGAGTAACATTATAGTACTGAGTGGGTTTTCACGTAATTTTAAACATCAACAAGGTTCTGTGTAACATATGAGAATGTGCTACATCACACCTTATTTTTTTATCTGTCTGATATTCTGTCCCACTCTAAACACTAGCTGGTTAAACCCCCCTCAGGAGGGAAGTGGTTTTCTGCTCTGCTGCTGCTGTCAGAGGGAAACTCCAGCTCTCAGTCCGAGCAGAGCTCGAACAGACGACGCTGGAGAGGAAACATGCTAACCCTTTAGCACACTTCTCACACAGCGCGCTCCCAACGGTCAGCGCACACACAGGGGCACAGCAGGCTGCTAGCATCTGACTCAGACCTGAGCGGTGACGCGGCTTTGGCTTCAAAATGAAGCTGATTTACACTTTAAATGCAACCACATGTAAAGCAACAACAGCAGCTAAACAAATAAACCAATAAAAATCAAATAACGAGCAGCAAATCGGCCCGTTGAACCGTTCCGAGTAGCTCCGTTCGAGCTGAAGTGAGGAGGATGCGGTGGTGTTTCTTACCTCCACACTGTTCACGTCTGCCGCCGCTGGGGGCTCGACTTCACGGGCGTGTGGTGGTCGAGCTGCTGGGCCAAAGCCGGAGGGCGACGAGAGACTTCATCCACACAGGTGTGCGACCGTTTACTCTGACACGAGGAGTCTGTTTCAGAAAGAAACGACAAGAGCACACGGTTAAGATAAAAGGAGTATTCCTCTGGAGAAAACACACAAACCTCTCCAACAAACGTAGCTCGGTTACGGCGGGTGTTCCTGTCTGACGTTATCATTTTTTACGTAAGTAAGCTAACGCACATTTTTCGCTATGTTGCAGAGCTAACGTACGCTAACGCCAAGTTAACTAGAGAAACGCTATTCGTCGTTTGTTTTTTTCCCCATTACGCTAAATGGAAAAAGTTTGAACTGAATCGAGGTGTACCGGCTCTCAAAGCTGACGTTACGAGTGAGACAACCAAACCACCGCCACAAACAAACAAACGAGGCTGGATCTGGATCTTCTCTCATTCGCAGTTTCCGTTCCACCTTAAACAGTGCAGCAGTTAACGTTAAGTTCTGTTGCGCAACTTAAGGTGGAAAGGAAAGGCGGCTTTAAATGTCAGGTAAAGCTGCTTCAAATAATGAAGTAAAGGCATTTCATTTCTTCGCCGGCTACAAGACCGGACTCAGCCTACCGAGGCACGCAGGTCTTTTCCGCTGGCCCTTGGCGGCGGCGGCGTGCTGCTGCTGCTGCTGCTGCTGCTGCTGCTGCTGCTCTCTCCGCTCCGTCTGGCTCTCACTCCGCTCGGCCAGGCGCTCGTGGTTTCCGTTTACATCCACACTCTTATTCCCGGTCGAGCTGTAGAAGCTCGGTAAGTCCGTGGTGTCCACGGCGGTCCACAGATACCGGCCGTGCGGCAGAGGCGTGTAGGTGGCGAAG